AAAGAGGTTTCTGCTTGACCTTTCATTACACAGAAAGAGAAGAAAACTCTTTTCCTTCCCGTTTCCGGGGGAGTCGGACGGTTGTTTTATTTGATCCCGTTCCTAATTGTCCAGGACCAAACAGCCCAAAGGTGGCTCTAGGCACATGACTCACCGCTCCAGCCTGCTCCACAAGCAGACAGGGGTTTTGAGCACATATAATTCTGTGTCCCTGTGTCGCAGATAAAGAAACGGAGGTCCCGAGAGGTCATGTGGCTTCTCCAAGGTCACACAGCAAACGGGGCTGATTCATGGGAAGTCAGTACAAAGCCAGGACTTTGGGATCAGGAAGATCTCCAACCTGGTCCCAACCCCGGTTCCAACACCTCGAGCCGTCGGACTCTCTGAATGTCCCCGGCCTAGTCTGTATGATGGATGGTACACACCTCCACAGGCCCCTAGACAGGAGCCAGGGGAATGTTACCTGGCGCAGCAGACAGGGACGCCAGCCTGGTAAATGACAGCTTGTCCTTGACTGTGTGAATATAACCAAAAGGCAGACAGTTTTACAAACAAACACATCTCAGCTCAACTTGAGGAAAAGACCTTTCTGAAAGTTAGGACCTTCTTTTGGAAAAGCTGCTTCAGAAGAAACAAAAGGTAGGAAGCTCCCTGTCCCTGGAGATAATCAGGGAGCCTGCAGCCCCCTGCGTGGTAGGGATGCTGTGGCAGGATTCCTGCTTGAACAGAAACCCACAGAGACCTTCAGGGTCGGGGGACTTTGCCCTCCCCCTTGATCGTCTCCCATCACGCCTGTCTGAGGGCAGGGGAGCTAAGGATGGTGGCCCTCGGGTACTGCTAAGCTTCTGCCCTGAGAGCCCCGGCCCACCAGGAGCACGGAAAGGACACGCAGACCTGCCGTCCATCGTTGTCCAGCCTCTGCCTCACTATCGCCCGTGACAGTGACCTGCCAGGAGCTGGGAGCAGAGGCTGCACTTAGAGTAAACCCTCCCTGCACAGGGGCAAGTCAGCAGGTCACAGTGGCTCAGGGAGGAACCTGCCTGAGGGGCGGCCCGGCACACGGATCCCAGGCCAGGGAGAGGGTATGCCATCCTAGAGGAGAGCGTGGCCGGCATTGCCAGCCATAGGCACATATCAGGTCAATCAAGTTCATCTCCAGGCCCCAGCAACCCTGTGCTGAGGTCTCCCAGCTCGGATACCCCCCTGCCCTGGCACTTGTTACATAAAAACAAACACACACAAACCTGGTCCCATTACCTCAGGGTCTGAGCAGAACAAATAAGCTAAGAACCAACTCTTTTTGAAACAGGCCATACGTTGCCTCATCTCATTCTAAGAAATGTCTGGAGCCACGGGGCCACCTGGAACGGTGGGGTTCAGGCACGTGGGGCCAGGGCAGTTATCATGCTGGGCAGCAAAGCCCTAGGCTCCACCGCCCTGCCCCCTCTCGGATTCCTCCTTCTATGCTCCTCAGACGGGAGCACTGCTGTGTATTGAAATACATGCACCGTGGTCGACCTTTACCACGTCCCAGTCTGCCCAGGGTACATTGTTTTCACCTGTTATCCTAGAAAACTTACTATTAGTCCTATATTTCATTCTCCATTTTGGACAGTAAATTACAGGGAGAACTGCTTGTTACCTGGTTTAGGCCTTATCTTACCCCGTAGATTAGGGCTCTGGCAGACAAGGACACAAAACAAATGCTCCTCAATGGGAAAGGAGCCGCAGGGAGCTCCAGGGCCCCACGTGCTGCCTGGCTCAGTTGGTTCAGGAGGACGGAAGGGCCGGAAACATGGGACACGAGTCACTGGCAGGCGAGGTCAGCAGGCAGCAGGGTGGAGGGTGGAGGAGAGAAGCAGCCCCTCACCCCTCTGGTCTCGGCAGCCCCTTGGGCAGAGTGAGCTGAGGCACGTGGCTGACCAGAACCAATCAGGGAGCGGCACTAGCAATGCACAGTCACAAATGTGTCCTCCCTGTGCCAGTCACCTTCGTAAATGGAAGGTAGTCCTCACATTGGCCCCCCAGCCAGAAAGCAGGAGTGCTTTGGCCTAGGCAGCTTCATGAAAACATGATCTGAAACTCCTAATCCACCCCTAACCCACCCATTTTTCGGACAAGCAAACCGAGGCCCGGCAGTCTCCCAAATCCTCATTCAATCCACAGAGCAGGTTGTGCTCTTCTCGTGGCCTCCTATGTCCATTTTCCCCTTTGACCAGCACCCAACACACATTCTAATCCCCGGGGAATTAGACCCAAGTCATAGACCACAGACTCTTAGAGCCAAACGGGCGTTCAGTGGTGGCTTTGCCAGTGAGGACCATGAGCCCGGAAACTGTGACTGGGCAAGGCCTCACAGGGGTCAGTGGCCCAGCCCAGCTCAGAGCCCAGGCCTCCTGATCCCAAGGGAGCGCACTGACCACCAGGGGGCTCTCTCCAGGTGGCCTTTACAGACAAGGTGGTCACCTCTCAGGGCTGGCTTCCCGAGGCCCTATAAAAACCAGGTGGTCTCCCAGATCCCACAGAGGGGACAATCCCTCCCCTTCTTCCTGGCGTCTCTCGGGGCCTGGCCAGGGGAAACCACGATTGCATGATATGAGCTGTGCTTTGCTTTTTCCTTCCCAGGTTACTCCTTCTTCAGTGATGCTGAAGAGACCAAGGCCGGCATCAAAGACTGTGAGTAGCCCAGGTCCAGCTGCCCGGGGCTCTGCTGCGGCTGCTGTTGGGCAAGGGCCTGATCGCTTCTTCAGGACCACCCTGAGAGGGTGACGGCCTGAGACAACCCCAGCCCAGGAGATGGCAGGAAAAAATGTGGTGGACAGAGCCTGGGGCTGGGGCCACCTGTGATCTCCTAGCCTAGCCCAGACTCAGTTTCCCTGTCTGAACATGGTGCGTAAGATCCAGAAACAGTGCATACAGAGCGCCTGGCATGCGCCAGCAGCATAGATGCTCCAAAACTGGTGTCCGCAAGCAACAATCATCCTAATGACTGACCGCTAGAGGCCTGTGGTTGAATCCGAGCTCGCTTAGCAGGCCGCGTATATAATGATAAGGTGATGGAGGCCCTCGAATGGCCTGGTTCATTCCGAAAATTAGCCTCGCTGTTTTGCTCTTGCAGATGGAGGTTCAGGAAAGAGAATTTTGTGGCTTTGATTTTTTTAAGTCGATAATAATGATAATGATACTGGTGATTGCTGTTAGTTGCTGAGCCCATGCAAAGGCTCTGGCCTGGGGACCAGGATATAGGCCCTAGGCAGGCCCCTCCCCTCCCGGACTTCAGCTCATTCATCTGCAAAAAGACAGGGCGTATGGTGACTCCAGAGAGGTGCACACTGAGGGACAGACGGACAGATCATTTGTTATGATTTATTTTTTTCTCTCCTTAAAGTCCCAAGCAGTCACCTGAGGATTCAGATGGTCTGGTTGATGAAGGGCTTTTTCTTCAGTTTGAGTGCAGGCAGCCAGGGGCAGGCACCACGTGCTGTGGGTTTAGGCAGGCGCCCCGTGCCCCACGGAACACGGAGCCCTCACAAGAGCGGCTCTGCATTCCCCATGAACAAAGCTCCCACCGAGCTCCCTGGCTCTAGTGGAGCCCTTCTCACCCACTTGTAGCCATCGAACCCCAGCTTTCACCACCCAGCCCAATCCAGGCGTAGCCCCTAGAAGAATTGAGCCCACCGAGGCCCCAGGGCCATTTCTGAGTCTAAGGCCCAAGGCTGGAGCCCAGGGCAGGCCCCTGCTCTCTTTTCTAAGCAGCCGTGAGTTTGACCTGACCACTCCTTTCTCAGGGTCAGGTCTCCGCTTATAAAGGGGTGTCTCTTTGTCAGCCTGCCTTCCTCACAGCATAGGAGGAGGAGGGGCTGTGTCCCATAAGTTCTGTGTCCCCTAAGTTCTTTAGAATATATACTGAATATATAACTAGCCATAACTAGAGTCAGGACAAGAATACTAACAATAGCAGCTAGCTTTTATTGAGCGCTTACTGTGAGCCAAACCCTATGCTAGAATCTTTACAGACATTGTCTCCGGTCATCTTTCCTATAACCTTGTAAGGCAAGTCCTAGAACCATAGCCTTTTCACAGGGTAGAAACAAACACTTAGTAGGTTGAGGTGACAAAGTTAGAAGGTGACAGATGACCCGCATGTGTCTAAATCTGAAGCCCTGAATTGCTTTGCTTCCTCATCCATCTCTGTCTTTCTTTTCTTTCATTCATTCATTCGATAAACATCTATTGATCACCTACTATGAGCATGATATGAGCTGTGCTTTGCTTAGGTCCCTAGTGTTGGGTGCAAACTCTCCTGAAAGACAAATGCTGAGTCTTCGGCATCTTTGCACCCCCCACCCCCACCTACTAATCACCCCCAAAGCGCCTAGCGTGGTGCCGCCTCCCAGAGAGGTGTTCAATCCATGTGCCCACGCGGGTGTGACTTGAGGCCTGCATGTGGCCTCTCCATTCCTTCCTACAGCTGTGACTCATTCTGTTCCAGATGCTGATTCCAGTTGCCTGAAAACAAGCGGCATCAAAAGTCAAGACTGTCCCAGTCACAGTCGAACGAGTAAGTGTAGAGACACCCTTTTCATTTCTCACTTCCTAAAGCCATTCACAAGGCAAGGCCACCTAGTCTCATAGGCTTTGAAACTGGCTGTTTCCGTGGGACCCGTTATTTCCCGCTTAGAAGTCAGTACAGAAATTGACAAGGATTTTGATGAATGCTGTCAAATTCACGTTTACTTCTTTCTCACTTGGGAATGGTGCTGTAAGAATTAAAATGAGGAAGTAAAGACAGTGTCTAACCATGAAGAGGAAAGGTTTATTTGTCCTGGTCTATTGGTGGGGAGTGGCAGAGGGGTTGGGGGGAGGTCTTCACACTGAAGTGCTCAGGGGCAGCAGCAGAAAAAAACACCAGGAGTTGGCAGTCCTATTAGCCTTTCCCAGAACTGAGACAGACCTACCCAGTGCCACCCGCCTGTTGAGGTTGGTTCCGGCCACTTGATCTGTATTAAATCCTAACCCTCTAACCTCCACTATGAAGTAGGCCCTCTTATTATCCCATTCTACAGGTGATGAGAGAGGTTGCAATGACAGAGCTAGGAAGAGGTCAGTCCACGCCCCAGTCCCAGGCAGCTGGACTCCAGAACCAGCCGAAGCCACAATACAGTGGAACAAGGGAAATACCAGCTTTTTGTGAAAAAAATCTAATTGTAGGATTGGTCCACCCGGACAGTTGTGGCTGTGGGAGCCTGATACAGCCCACCGCCTGTCAGAAAGAATGAAAAGATTATTTGACGGTCATTTCATGAATTCCCTAAGGATGACCCCGTGGTGCCACAGAGCAGGGGCCACAAGGCCACGGTACTGCTCGTCCGTGCGTCCCCAAATGTCAGTTTTGAGACAGATGTTCCCCAGCTCAGCGAGGTTCCATCCTAACCCCACAAGGCAGCAATTCTCGTGTTCTCATGGGTTCATGAGAAGTGGCACAACTCTCTTAAAACTAAAAAAAAAAAAAATTAAGTCACTTCCTTTCCTTCCGTAGGCCTCCAAAGTTCTCACCTCTGGGAATTCGTGCGCGACCTGCTCCTGTCTCCCGAAGAAAACTGCGGCATCCTGGAGTGGGAAGACAGGGAGCAGGGCATTTTCCGGGTGGTGAAATCCGAGGCCCTGGCAAAGATGTGGGGACAAAGGAAGAAAAATGACAGAATGACGTACGAGAAGTTGAGCAGAGCTCTGAGGTGAGTTAATGGCCACGAAATGCCAGGAGCCTCCGGGTGGTTGCATCAAATGGCCAGCCCTAGGACGGTAAACTGCTTTTGCAGCTTTTTTTTTTTTTTGTGAGTGTGTGTGTGTGTGTGTGTGTGTGTGTGTGTGTGATGATCGAAAGGTCATGAGACAACACTCCACTTCTTAGTTCCAGGTGGGATTATGGTCTGTAAATGGACACGCCGTCCTCTTCATTCTTGGCAGTGTTCCCAGGGATCACTGTGAATCGGGCCACACACACACACACACACACACACACACACACAGAACACGTTGGGAGCTGAATGTGGGAGGTTCTGTAGTTGAGGTGTCTGGGAAAGGTTTCAGTGTAAACTGAGACCAGGGTGTGAAAACACCAGGGTAACCAGAGCCCAGGCTGCCCCCTGAGAAGAATGGGGAGTGTTTATGTTCCGGTGCTGGCCTGGGGTGCAAGCCCTCCCCCCAACCCCCCACTCCATCACCATTTATCTCCCCTGTACCCTCTCTACCTCTCGCCACACATTGACAATTACCACACTGTTGTCCCTGTCCGTGAGGGGTTTGTTTTTTTCTTCTCTCTCTCTCTTTCTTTTTTCTTTTTTGCTCAATCCCTCCACCTCTTTCTATCCAGCCTTTATACATTTTGGAATGGAAACTCGTCTGCTGTCTTTCTCAGGTACTACTATAAAACGGGAATTCTGGAACGGGTCGACCGAAGGTTAGTGTACAAATTTGGAAAGAACGCACACGGGTGGCAGGAAGACAAGCTATGACCGGCTCCATCGTCTGGCTCCTGTTGATGGATTTCTGTTTTAAAGCTATCACGTCGCAATAGACATTTGCAAGTCTTGGTTTTCGGTTTGTTTGTTTTTTAAACGTGCAAACGTGCTGATAAAGTTTCTCCACATCTCCGCTTACATTTGGATTCAGAGTTGTTGTCTCCTCACGGGTGATGGCAGCAACCCTTAAGAAATCCCACTGCTTTTTTTTTCACCCGGGGGCGGGCGGGGGGGGATCTTTCCTGGTACCTTGAGCAAACATGGCTTCCCTATTCGAGAGGCGCAGAACCTCAGCAGCCAGAGCCACGGGTGCCGCTCAGAGGAAGGGACCCACCTCTGCCTTTAGACTCACCCGGTGCTCCCATCCCCAAAGCTCCAAAGTTTCCACGCACTGAGCTGTGGCAACTCACAAAGGGAAGAAGTGATTCGTTCGTATTTAATATAACAGGAAGGGGTGACGTGCTAAGACAAACATACTGTAGGTTTTACATCGTTAAAATTCCATAGAAAAGCTTCTTAATTAGTGGAAGGGCTAAGCCATCCAGCTGAGCGTAGGTTAACAAGATGTTTCTCAACCAGCACATCTTCATGGCCACTCGTCAACACTCCCACAGCATCCTTACCAAATAACACACTTACCATTAGACACATTCTTCATTCTTGCTGAGTTTATTTCCCCTCTTCTCCTGCTTGCAAAACACGCATGGGCTAGTGAGGCCTAGATATGTTTTTGTGTGGTGCACACATACACAAAAACTCCTTTTTGCTTGTTGTTACGGGGGAAGGGGGGGCGGGAGGCCTCCGACAGGCAAAGGCACTTGCATCAATTTCCAAATCACGGTTGTTTCTATGGCTCAAGCTGTCAACACGATGAAATCGTAATTCGTTGATTCTGTCCATGCCCAATGGAAATGTCCTGACAGCTCAGTCACAGCCAATAAAATTGAGTCTCTTCTGTGTTGCCTTCCTACCTGATGTGTCCTCAAGCTCCAAAACATATTTCCTTGACAGAAATGGCCACTAAACACTCACAGGTTACAGGGTGCACCGACAGTCTCATGGGCCACTGGTAGGGACGCCATTAGTGATCTCCAACTAGGTGGATGGCCGGGACTTCCATGTCACCAGAGCAGGAAGCTTCCTGGGGCGAGGCACTGCACCACAGTCCTGCGCTGAGGACCTCCATGCTTAGAGTTTAACTTTAAAAGCAACTTGTGTGAGCTCAGCCAGAGTGGCTCAGTTCGCTGAGTGTTGTCCTGTGCACCTAAAGGCTAAAGGTCACCAGTTCAATTCCAAGCCAGGGCACATGCCAGGGTTTCAGGTTCCATCCCCGGTCGGGGCACATATGGGAGGCAACCAATGGATGTTTCTCTCTCTTTCTCTCTCCCTCTCAGCATGTCCTCGGGTGAGGCTTAAAAAAAATAAAAAGGAACTTGTTTTTAAAAAAATGTGAATGACTGTAAAATAATCTATTTTTAGACTCATGTGTTTCCCAGGTGGATATAGTTTGTAAACAATGTGAATAAAATATTTAACATGCTGAACTGTCTCTGTTTGTTAACTTCAGCTGGACATACCCAGCTAAGGTACATACTTGGCAGCCTAACCCTTTGAGGACCCTTCCGTTGGTTTTGTAGCTTAGGAAATAGGGATTTTTAAAGTGCCCCAAGATATGCAAGAAATACATGGAGTAATCCTACCTCCATAAGACAGAGGTCTCCTCAAAAAACAGCCCTAGCCAGTATGGTTGAGTGGATAGAACGTCGGCCTGTGGACCAAAGCATTCCAGGTTTGGTTTCAGTCAAGGGCATATACCTCAGTTACAGGCTTCTCTCCAACGTGGGTCCTGGTCAGGGTGTGTGCAGGAGGCAACCAATCGATGTGTTTCTCTCACATCAATATCTCTATCTTTCCCTCTCTTTTCCACTCTCCCTAAAAACCAATGGAAAAATATCCTCAGGTGAGGATTTAAAAAACAAACAAAACAAAACAAAAAAAAAACGCATGGGCTAGTGAGGCCTAGATACGTTTTTGTGTGGTGCCCACATACACAAAAACTCCTTTTTGCTTGTTGTTCTGATTTTTGTTCTGTGTCTTACTATGAATTAGTTTCCTTGATTACAAATCAGGAGATTCACAGACAAATCCAGTTTCCCCATTTCTTATAAAAACCAGAACTGGCAGCACTGGTTTCCCGGAGTTTCTTATAAAAACCAGACCTGGCAGCACTGGTTTCCTGGTGTCTGGAGCTGCGTGGAACTCTCCCTTTGGGCAGAGCCTCCAGGCACCGCCTCCCTCTGCCTTCCAGTCTTGCTCTTGCACTACTATGGTCGGTTGGTTGGTTTCATGCATCCAGAGAGCTTGCACATGTTTAATTGGGGATCCCTGTCCTGGCCACCTAAAAAGGTAGGTACCATGTTAATGCACTGGGTCAGAGCCCACATTCCGGCTGAGAGTATCCAGGAAACTGGAACGGAGGGAACAAGAGGGGCACTGGGAGCTTTCGGGCAGAGAGCTTGGCAGAACCAAGCAGCTCAGGGGACGGCAGGGACTGGGGTGGGGGCAGAGCAGGCAGCACTGAACACGACTGGGGAGCAACGTACAACCTAGGAGATGCTCTCCTACCCCCAGAGGGGGCATCAGGCAACTCAGAGAACTCAAACAATGAATCCCTCTGCTACTCAAGAAGTTGTCACTTTATAAAACCATTAAATCCTTTCTGTATGAGTTTCCTAAGGCTGGCCAAGACAAATCACCAAATTTGATGGCTTGAAGCATCAGAAATTGCCCTGGCCGGTGTGGCTTAGTTGGTTGGGTGTCATCTGGTGCACTGAAGGGGTTGCTGGTTCGATTCCTGGTCAGGATACATGCCTGGGTTGTAGGTTCAATCCCCGGTAGGGGACATGCAGGAGGCAGCCAATCCATGTTTTGCTTTCACATCGATGTTTCACTCTCTCCTCCTTCTCCTTTCCTCTCTCAAAAATCAATTTAAAAATCTTTAAAAATTCCATTAAAAATCTAGAAATTTATTTTCTCACAGTTCTGGAAGCTGGAAGTCTGCACAGACAAATCCAGTTTCCCCATTTCTTATAAAAACCAGAACTGGCAGCACTGGTTTCCCGGTGTCTGGAGCTGCGTGGAACTCTCCCTTTGGGCCAGCCTCCCTCCATTCGGCCTGCCCCTCCTCCTCCCTTTGCTCTCTGAGGACGCTTATCATTGGATTCAGGGCCCAGCTCCTCTCAAGACCTTTCGCTTAATGAACTGCAAAGACCATTTTTCCAAAGCGCA